GTGAGGGATGGTGACTCCTGATAAAGGACCCCCAGGGTGGGAGGTGAGTTAACTGGCAGGGCTCCTCTCAGAAAGGCAGGGAGAGCTCAGAGCAGGTGGGGCCAAAGCAGGGCTGGGCAGAGAAGAAAATGCCACTCTGGGCTTGGGCGCAGAGAACAACAGACTTTCCTGGGGACGCAGGGTCTCTCCCACCCTCATTACTCTCCACCTGTAATAGAGACTCGGGGGAGGAAGCTGGAAGAAGGGAGAGCTGGGGGTCTCTCTCCTGTGTCAGTGGCTCCGTATTGTGCTGATGATTCAGATGATTTAGTGATGATAACAGAGTCAAAGAGACTCTGGAGGAAAAGCATAGCTTACCGAAAAGCCTCTGTGGGAGTTTGGGTCAGAGAAGGAAACAGGATCTAAAAGAAGAAAAGCCAGGAGAAAACATCTGCAGACTGGGCTGCGGGATGGGGAGTGAGAGGCAGGCATCCAGGCGCAGCTGCCAAGGAGCCTGGATTGCAAATCATCTCCCTGGTGAGGGCCCAGGAGTTGGGAGGATGGCAGGGGAGGGAAGCCTACAGAGGCTGGGGAGCAAGGGGCCCAGCCTTCTCATCCCTGCCTCCACACGCTGCAGGTGTCAGGCTGACTTCACTCCCAGGACTGGTGCTACCTGAGCTGTGTGTGCTGAGGGCCAAGGAGCAGGTCTTCTGGTCTCCGAAACTCTAGTGCATTGGAGTCTTCCACAGGCACCTATCCAGCTGTGGAAAGCCTTATCACTTAGGGAATCGGTGCTAATCAGAGAGAATTTTCATTGCATACTCAGTGTGAGATGAGCAACACATAATGTACTCTCTTCTTTGTATATACTGTGGTCGTCAACGTTCTCTGATAGGAGATCTGTCAGCCCTCCTCTCTGTTCATCATTCATTAATCCAACAATTGATGAATGGATTTTAAAGAATGGCCTCATGCACCCACTCAGCCTGGCAAGTGGAAATCAGAAGAATAGGTGGGCAGGATAAAGACTAAGGGAAGAGTTGAGGATGCAGTTCCGGAGCCCAAAAAGCCTAGAGGCACAAGTGCTCAGGCTTTTAATGTTTCCAGAGGATTGGATGAGTGTCCAATCTGGAGGGTAACTGCTTTACTCAAAATCTACTGATTTAAATTTTTATCATATCCAAAATGTAACTTCTCGGCAATATCTAGCCTGGGGTTTAACCAAGCTGAGGTTAAAATTATAGCACACAAAAGTTGAAATTGACAGGTAAAATGAGCCATCACCCATCTCTTACGTCTACTAACCCTCACAAGAACCCTGTGAAGTAGGCACTCATAATCCCCTTGTACAAGCCAGGAAACCGAGACTAAAGAAGGTGAACAAGTTGCCAAACATAACACAGCCAGTAGGTGACAGCCAGAACCCAGACTCAGGATTATTAGGTTCTGCAGACCACCCTCCATCACTGCACCGCGTACCACCATGTACTGCCTCCCTGGTGTGACTCCCAGAGACCCCATTTAAAAGCACATGTGCTGGAGAGCGGTAGCAGGTTAAGTGTGATCAGTGCCTCGCTGGCTCATTCCACCATGCAGAGATGCTGGGCGTCTCCGTGGTGAGCCAGGCATGCCAGGGAATCAGTGTATCAGATCACTCCTTGCCCCCTGGGTCAGCAGTTTTCAAGCTGGCCTGCTGGGAGCACCAATATCTGACTGGCATTAATAACGCACACCCAGCATTAGGGGCTGTGCCCAGCAGGCTGTGGTTTCTCCTCTCTTCTGTGCTGCACTCCAAAAGCACTTTGATTTTCAGATCACTGCCTTTCTGAGACCCTTCCCAGAAGTTCACTTACTTACACATTCCCAGAGGGGAGCAAATAGGATTTGAGCTTCTACTTTCCCAAAGCAGTCAGGTGGTTGTCTGAGGGCTGGATTCCCAGGAACTAGAAGCGAAGGTGCCAATAATTTCCACAGGGCCAGATCATATGCCCCCTGCCTTCACTCTCAAAGATCTGACTTCACTATTCTGTTGCCTAAACTTGGAAACTTGGGCATCCTTCTAAATCCCAAAGTAGACGAGATAAAAGGCAGAGAAATTTAATTGAGACCAATTATATACATACATACATACATACATACATACATACATATACATAATTATATACACACGCGCACACACATATATATACATACACATACACATATATGTACACACACACATAATTCCCATGAAGATCGATCTTGACAAATAATAGATTTACACTGGGAATAAAACACTTTTTTCCAGCTTCTAGCTCCTACAAAAGGATGATGAACCTGAGAAAGTGGGGCTTCAGCTCTGTGCCCTGACTGCAGCAGCTTCCCGGATCAGCTCTTTCTCCTGTTGTTCTCTAGGCCGTTCTCCCCTCCTCACCCTTCTTCTATATTGAGCTAGAGGGACAAAGGTCAGCGAAATGACCACCCTCGTCCCTACTAGCTCATATCCTCCACACTGTAGCTAAATTCAAGACAAATGGTTCTCGCCACCACGAATCATGAGCTTGACATGTGGCAGACCCAAAGTCAAGTGCACAAGAGTTGTTAAGACTCCCACACTTTCTGCTGTGAAAAAATTTGCCTAATAAATTTTCTTTTCATTGTGTGAAAAGGAAAGCAAACAGAAAAGCTGGCCAGTTTTGGACAAAAGGCCCACATGCTGAAGGCCAGGTGTTTTCTGCATACGGGGCTCTCCCGTTCAGCACTAGCCACCAGGCCTTATTCAGCACTTGCTCCCTGGTAGCACCACAGCCTGCTGGAAGAGGAGCAAGGCAGACAGATGTTGCTGCTCAGGTTTCAGAGTTTTAGAAGTCACTAGCTCTGCGAGATTCAAATACCACAGGTGTTTCTCCACTTGAGCCAAAATAGTCAAGTTACAAAGGGAGACAGAACCTCATTATGGACAGAAACGTGAAATCAGAGATGGTGCTGTGTGGGCTGCTCAAAGTTGTTACTTGGGTCTGAAGAAGTTGATTGGTCTCATTTTCTGCCTGGAATCCTGGTTCTCCTTCCTATTTTCTAGACCAGAGGACTGATGACAAAGCATCTAATCACAATAGTCATGTTCTAGAAGGATCTCTCTGATCACCAAACCACTCTCCAGGGAGCACTGGTTGTTGGTGAGACAAGCACAGGACAGTGAAAGGGCTCCCCAGGATGGCCAGCTGGCTTTTATTGCCACAGGTTGGCAAAAGAATGTTTTGCCATGTGAAGAACCACTGTACTGTCTCCACTTGGGATAATACACAGGAAGAAGAAAGTGTCTTTCAAAACTTTTCTGAAGGAAATGGTGTGAGCAAGAAAGTCAAAGCCAGGATAACTAATGTTCTAGTCACACAGTACATGAATTATCCTGGAGGATCGCAGAACACTCAGATTTCTCTGGTATTTAGAAACGAAGGAAATGCTCTACCAAGTGGTTAGCAAGTTCATATTTTCTATGGTTCCTTTTTTCTTTTCTTCTTCTCTCCCTTCCTTCTTTCTGCCTTTATTTCCTTGATGAAAGTAGAACAATATCTTTAATTAAAGGTGACAGAATAAACAAACTCACTCGGCATAGGTCTTGGAATTCATAAAACTAGGTTCCTGGTTTTGGATTATATTGATTTAGATTCTCTTTGTATGTGATCTGAGAATCAGAGTATTGACACCAAATTCATCCATAAAAATAATGTAGCCCGGCCTGGTGGCGCAGCGGGTTAACGCACAGCACTGAGAAGCTAAAGTCACTTCCGCCTGAGTTCGATTCCCGCCTGCCCCGGAACTGACCACATGGCGCGGCAGACCTCTCCTGACCTGCCCGCTGTTCTCCTCAGCAGTGTACCTTGTCAATCTGCCTGTTCTGCTCCCCACTCTGTCTATGGTGAAGCCTCTTACCGCCCCTGAGCCTCTGGCCTGTACCCCAGTTCTGTATGCACAAATAAATAAATCTTTAAAAAAAAAATAATGTAGCCCAACTCCCTTTTCTTATAAGAAAGAAATCAAGACCAGAGAAGTTAAGATTCTTGAAACTTATGACAAATTTGGAGAATTATCACAAGTTTGAAGATGTGATGCTAGTTGCAACCTCAGGTAAGGGAAATCTCCATGAAATCACCTTTTGTTATGAGCTCCTACCTTTTCTCTCTGTCTTTCTATATCACTGATTCAGCCTCATGTTCTAGAAACAAAGGTCCTAGACATAAAGGAACTCAATGTAGCCAGGTATAACTGACCTTGGCAAACTACAACCATAGCGCAGCAATGGAAAACGCTTTCAAAACCATCACTGACTATGTCATTCTCTTGCTCTATATCTTCCTTTCACTTTCAGGTCAAAATAAGTTCTCACGTAACATAAAAGACTCTACATGACCTGGCCCTTTCTAGTTCCACAGCCCCACCTCCTACCATTCCTGTCCTTTACCCTGTTCTAACCATACTGCATCTTTGTTTCATTGATGTACAAAGCAAGTCCTGCCCCAGGGCCTTTGCACATGCTGTTTGGTCTCCCAGGAATGTTTTCAAATAGCCTTATATTTCTTGATTTATTCATATTTCTGCTAAAAGAGCCTCTCATGATTATAACATCCCATCCAGTTTCCATGTCATTCATCTTACTGTTCTTTATAACATTAATATTTTTATTTACTTCCTGTTTCCACCCATATCGATATCATGGGCTTAGTAATTTTCTATGTGTTCCTAGATTAGTACCTATTATATTATAAGTATTTAATAAATGTTTGTAGAATAAATGAATGTAGCCCTTTATTTAGTGTTCATGTATCTTAATTTTTCTCTAATTTTTTCCCAAGAACATACACCTAACACCCTCCTTGCCCCTCCATACACATACACAGAATACACATGTCTAGTAGGGATAAAGCATTTATAGTAGTGGGAGGTCATTTCAAATTAATTTAACATTAATCAAAATGTTATTAGTGAACAATTCTCTACAGATGCAGAGCAAGAAAAAGTTAATATTTAGAATTCCTAGAAAAGGGGAAAATGGTCTTCTCTCTCTAGCAAAACCCCTTTCCACTGATTCTTAACTAAATTTCTTTTATTTATTGTAATTGTAAAAAAAACTTCAATGGGAAATTGTTTGTACTCCCATGTGTTTACATAGAAACTTCACTTTTTCAAAAACAGTTTAGCTTTTTCATTTTTTTACATCACAGTCTTTTATAATTATCCTTTTATATTGAGTTTCAGTTTCAGAGTTCTCGATGAGGAATAATCCCAGTCCTGAGGTCACACAATTAATTCTTCAAAATAAGATTAAGAAACTCTGCATTCTGGATGGAAGACCCTGCCTGGTGATTAGTTGCCTGGAAGAGCTTGTTACAAGCCAAATAGAAGGAGCTGTCATCCTGTTGATGGTTTCCAGGGACGAAGGCTCCAGGACCTGCAGTAATTTCATTTGTCATCATTGCAAAGCCAGATAGTCACGTGAGCTGCCAAAGCCTGCAGCAGAGAAGTTCCCTTGCCAACTGTCCTTAGGAATCAGAACATAAGGTAGACAAGGCAACTGCTAGAAATGAATTATCACTAGCATTATAATATCATCGTCACGAGAAATAGAGGCAGCAAGTTTGCATTTACTTGTAATAATTTCCTAGCTCTAAGCAAAAACTTTTAGTGATGAAGATGTCTCTAGAAATCATGAAGATAGCTGCCTCTCTTGTAGTGTGAGGACAGGCTCCAAGAAAGCTTTGACTCCCCAGGATAACACTGAGCCGGGGTGGGGTGTGTGTGGGTAATGCAACAGAGCCCCCCGCTAGAATATTATGGGTGAGCTGGAAGAAATTCACCTGTTGGAGAGTCAGCGATGTCCCCAAGACATTATGATGTAGTTGATACTGAGCCAAGCAGCAATACCAGTGAAAGATGGGGAGACTCAGCCCCAGTGGTAGACGAGGCTGCCTTCTTTTTCTGGTTAATCTTTCCGTTGGCTCATGGACATGACTTAGCTGATAACCAGGGATAAAGGAAAGGACTCAAGTCCCTGGGAAAAGGGTTAACATGAACCAAAAATTAACACAAAGACCTTCCACAGCCAGGACAAGCTACGTTATGCTGGAACAACAAATAATCCCCATGCTCAGATATTTAAAATCACATGAAGGCTCGTGTCTTGCTCATAGCATGTGTAGATTGCTCATCAGCAATTGGCACGACTCATCATTATCACTCAGGGACGCATCTCAAATGCTGTCATTCATCCTGCCTGAGAGAAAAAGGAGCTCTAGAGGGGTCTTACACTGATAATTAAATGCTTTTCCCCAGAAGCGACTCACATAAATTCTACTTACTAGTCATTGGCCAGAGCTAGTTTTACAGCTCCTACACAGGAGAAAGGACAGTCCTCTTGAGTTAGTATTAATGAGTGGGGCGACCCTTTCTGGCCCAATGGGGTGATCAGGAAATAATGAGAAGGGTGTTTTATCCAAGTCAGGCATGAGATGCAGGAGAATGTGGGAGGACGAAAGAGACGGTGTGGAAGACAGGCAATCGGGGTCCAAGACATTGAGACTGAACTCCCAAAGTGGGGGCGTGAAGCCTGAGGTGGCAGAGAGGTGTGTTACAGCTCAGTGGCCATACTCACCCCAGGGCTGTCCCAGTGGATTGGGGCTGGATGGCAATACCTCAAGTCTCAATCCATTTTCTCCTGCTGGGGGAACTGAGCCCACATGCATATTCTTCTTGGCGACCCTGATCAGTGGCAGGTCTTCCAGGACTTGCAGGAGGAGCTTGCCAAAATACATAGCTGCGAAAATGTTGGAGAAGGGATATAGTAACATACCTGGCTCTTATATTCCTCTCACTTAGAAAATGCTTTTGTTTTTATTTTCAAGGGCTGTCATTTTAAGTCTCAGAACCCAAGGAAAATTTTTCTGAAGCTTTTGAAATTCCCACGGGTTCCTCCAGGAGGTAGAAGACTTTTGTTTGCTTAAGACTCTACAGCCGTGTTTCACTGGGTGCAGTTCAAGACCACCAGCATCTGAATCACAGGGGAGCTTGTCAAACATGCAGTTCTCTGTGCTGCTCTTCTGAATCAGGATTCTTAGGGGTGGAGCCCAGAAATTTGCATATTTGACAAGTTCCCTTGATGCAAACTAAAGCTAGAGAACCACTGCCTGAAAAGAAGTATGATTGTCATTGGGGGATGGATGGGTGTTTCCTAAAAACAGAAAACGAAACCCTTCTGATCCTCAGGTCTTATACAGCAGTGCAGCCATTTAAAGGTTCCAATGGATTTCACTAATCAGTTCTGTTTTTATTCTGGTTCATAACCTTACTCTGGCTCCAACCGCTAAGACTGTTTCAACATTCCTTGGCGTTTGCTGAAGTTTGAGCTACCAGTTGCTGAGATGGGGAAGGCAGGTGGCTGGACCGATGGGCCGGAGTGGGGGGGTCTACTCTCTGCAGGAGACAATTACATGCTCTGAAAAGGACAACCATGGCTTGTCCCAGGCAACAGAGGAGAACCCTTGTCAGCATTTTGAAAAGCTGGCGCCATGCTTGAAAGGGGCTGACTGGAGCCACTGATGGGTCTGGCTGAAAAACAATTGCTTACGAGGAGGATCAGTGTCAACTTTGAAGTCAGCCATGCTCGAATTAGCACCATCGTGGTAACAAGCAGAATGAGCAGGGCTGAAATGACATATTTAGTCAGGAAAGAGGCCTTTGTTTTAAGGGTCCTTGAAAGGAAACAATGCATGAGACTTGGATGAGAAGATTTTGGCTCTTTTTTTTTTTTTAAGTCAGGAAAGTTCATGTTTTGATGAATTGGGTCATCTTCATAGCTTCCATATTGGCAGGCAGAACTGCCCTTTCTGGGTTGTCGGACTGGTTCTCTCACTCACGTGGTGTGTGTCCTTAGGAGTCATGAATGCTCTGTTTGCTGCAGAGGTTCCAAGTGTGTGTGTGTGGGGTGTGGTTCCATGTCTTCTCTGCAGACCAGGGGTCCTCTACATAGCTCTTGGATAAAATAAGCCACAGCTATCACACCTTGGAACTCAGGCTGTCTTTACCTCCTCTTAGCTGCCACTTCCTCCAACACTGCAGAAAGTGATGGTTGTGATTTTGGTAGTGGCGGGGGAGCAGTGGCAGTGGGCAGTGCTGGTGTCAGCCTCAGCCCTGGTGCTGCTCTGTCACGATCCTTTATTCTCAGACTTCTGGCCTCACATAATGTTGTTCTTTTCTCTTCATAGATCCTCCAGGCATGCTGGTAATGGCCAAAAGGGTTCTTGGACAAGGTCTCCTCAGCTCTTGGGAGGATATGGGGACAGGGGTAGGAAGTTAGTTATTTTTCCAGTTACATTGTCTTATGTCTTACTTTTTCAACTTTTGTATGAATAACATTTGGGAATACTATTTTTCCTTAAAAATAAAATACAATCTCTAAAAAGCCTAGCTCAGTGCCTGGCCCAAAAAGAAGGAAAAAAAATCAGCCTGTGATGGGGATTTCTGCAATGTAATTTGACTATTTGATTAAATATTACAAATGGTATTATGATAGTGACTTTTATTTTGAGGGGGGGCTTTGATTCCTGCAACAACCACATTACAGTTGTCGCAGAAGGCAGGAATTTTTCTGTCTCCAGCATATGAAACAAACAGTTATACTTGTCTAATTTAGGCATAAAGTGTTTTGCCTCTTTTCTCTTAAAAGCATTCTTTAACAAAGCCCAAAGTGCAGTTGGAATACATCGTCCAGTTTGTAATTGAAATCAGGAGTCCATTATTATTAGCTTTCTGGACAGGCACAGGCTAGTTATTTAACACTTCTTCACGCAGCCCTGTTCATCTGCAAGATGGGAATGATGTTCATTTTCCTGATGGTCATTTTTCAGCTCTGTTGTAAAGTAGAATAAAAGACGATCCTTCAAACACTTTCAATTCCTCAAAAGAAAAAGTTGCTATAGTAACCCAGAGCATTAGTCCAGGTTTCAGTTCATTGTTGGAAAGTCTTTCAAAACTAGTATTTCATGGAGGGTGAAAAAGAGACATGTTAAAATTACCCATTTAGGTAGCACTTGGCAACTTAGATACAAATCAGGGCACACTTCCGGAAGGTTATAGGGTATGTGCATTAAGAATAACTTGCAGCAAAGAAAAAACTTAGTGCAGCTCCTCACAGCTCAGCCATCTGGCAAGCCCCCCACACCACACCACCCTCTGCCGCTCACCTGGGCACAGCAGGGTCCTCGGGTTTTTAGATCCAAGCCAGGCTGGTGCTGGAGCAGCAAGCACAGCAAACCAGCCACGAGACAGGAGAGCCCATTCGTTGGCTAATTTAACTTATAATATTTGGTCACTGCTTGGCAGGCATGGCTGTCTCTTGGGTGGTATTTACTTGGGCATTTATGTGGAGAACTTGTCTGGCTTGGCATTTTTTTTTTTTAATGACTTGATGTCATCTTTTAATGGCCCCACTCTAAGATGAGTTCCCTCCTCCCCTCTGCACTATTCTGTCATCTAGATCAATTCTTCTGACTCTAGTACATCTGGCCAAGCTGATTCAGAGATGCATCCAGTAAGTGTCTCACCACAGGTGCTCTCATTTCAGGGGAAGGAAGATGGCTGGGAACTCTAAGTCAGGCACCCTCTGCCTTGCAAATCCTCTTTAAACTAGACCTTTCAACCAAATCTGCCACTGTCGGAGGGCCCTCTCAAATTGGTAAAATATTCCTAAGTCTCCAACACCAAAGAAAGAAAATCCTCAAGTGTTTACTGCCATCCAGACTTCAGAAAAATTCCTACTCTGTGTGTGTGTCCTCCTAAGTTATTTTGCTTCTTTATGAAAATGTACTGGAAGTTGTTGAGCAAAAATTGAGCCCATTGCTTCCCTCTTCCTTTGATGTTATAGTTGAATGCCAGTTACCCCTAGATGTTTTCTGTTTCTTTAGGGCTTTGTCTTGCACACTGCTTATAGGCCTTGAGCACCTGTTCTTTTTGATGGAGCTTCAACCCAATACCCTACCCCAAAGTTCTTCCTCCTCTAGATCTAGAGAAGGATCCAGTCTCCTACTACCAATGTCAAAGGCTTTCAGAATATCATTTTGCTCAAAAACCCTTCTCTTCTCCAAAAAGATAGTCATGCTACTCTCTTTCTTTCTGGCCCTGTCATGGAAATGCCTTTTCATTCATCACTTCTGCTTTGCCCAGCTACTCCTTTCATTGGTTAAAGATTTTCTGGAATCCCAGCCCTCCCTGGTGGCGCAGCAGGTTAAAGCACTAAGAAGCTTAAGCCATGTCCGCATGAGCTCGATTCCCGCCTGCCCCAGAGGAGATCCACATGGCGTGGCAGACCTCACCTAACCCGCCAGCTGCTCCCCTCAGCAGTGTACTTCCTCGATCTGCCTGTTCTGCTCCCCACTGTCTCTGGTGAATCCTATCACCCTCTGCATCTCTGGCCTATGCCCCAATTCTGTATGAATAAATAAATAAATCTTTTTTTTTTTTTTTAAAGAAAGATTTTCTGGAATCCCATTTCCTTTACATAGACCATTCTGTCCACGGGGGGATACTGATGACTTAAGTCAGAGCGTGTCTTTCACTCCTTCCAGTTCCCTCAGCTTTCCCATAATAAAGAATCCTTCATTTTCTTATTTGCCTAATGCCTGCCTTCTGGGATATGTGATTTCCCAGCTGCTGGGGTTTCCCATCTTCATTGTCAAGTCCTCATTGCTGAATGAGGACTTTGTCACCCACTCACATGGCACCAGAGACTTGGGGTAATTTAATTATTTTTCACAGTGATGAGCAGCTCTGGTTTACAAGTGACAAAATGAGGTGCAGATAGATTCCTCAGAACAAATTAATGGCCTGATTAGACACAGAGTTAATCTTCTAGTGCATGAGTTATAGGACCATATTCCCTAGAGTTCATCCTTTCTTTTAGATCCTGTTTATTGTAGGGGAAAGAGAGAGCCTTTTTTGAGTCTGTTCTGCTTCATTTCCCCTCCCACTGGTTGGTGTCTTATAAATGCTATTTGATGAAGATAAGAACTTCACATTATAAAAAAATAAAAATAAAAACAAAAACCAATAGTTGAGACTTTATCTAATTTTTAAACTTCTAATAAGCTCTCTGAATGTGACTTGGTTTTCTCCAGGAAATAATTTAGTTAAAGTCAGTTACGATTCTTCTCCAGGATAAGATAGAGTCACAGAAACCCAATTCCTTTTGAAGTCATCCATTTAGTGAAATTGTAACTTTGGTGTGTGTGTGTGTGTTTGTGTGTGTGTGTGTGTGTGATTCTGTCTTGAGGTCCTGGTAAAGAGAGTAAAACTGTAAGCATCTTGGAGGAAGCATTCATAGCTCAATTTGAAGTTCAGAGCTCTTCTCTGAGCTCAAGTTTCACTGAAAACCCAAAGCATGGGCCAAATTCAGCAAAAGGCTGATTTGCGGTTGTGACCCTGGCGGGCTGGGCAAATTTGATAGTTCATCAGGATTGGTTTCTGGGGGACTTCAGGTCAGTTTGTGGGAGGGAGTCTGTGTCCAATTAAGGCCTGATGTGCAAGGCTGGTTTACTTCTGATCTAAAGAACAACTGAGGGTTCCTCTGAAGAAAAGCCATCCATGCACACATGTAGCACAGACAGACAGACATCTTCTTTGGGTCTTATAAGGTTTGCATATGAGGGACTTTTCCAATTACATTTCACTTGGATACTTTCAGGTACAGAGAACTGTGCTTTGAAGGAAAAAAAAAGAGAGAGAGAGAGAGAAAATTTTCTGTGGCAGGAAATTCAGAAACCCAAAATAAAGATAAAAACGTTCTCCATTCTCCATGGGCTGTAGCTCCAGATCTACCCCTCGAACTATACCCCTCTGGGAAAAAGGGTGATCAACACTAGTGCTCACTTCACAACTCCAATTTTAAAGGAATATTTCTGACATGTAAGTAATTTGCAAACACTAGATCTGGGAAAGTCTCACGTGGTTTGCTCCTCATGCTTGCTTTGCTCCTTGTTTTTTACATAAAGCAATTTTATCTGCCAATGTATTCTTGTCACCAATCAAATCATTGCTTTGTGCTGAAGCCAGATACACACATGGCTGCATTCCTTACACAAGGAAAATGTAAGTGAATTATTTTGAAAATGTGATTGTGAGATATTCCTGGCCTGAGAGATGGACAGAAAAGGACAGAAAGCGAGAGAGAGACTGAGAAGGTTTGGAGAATAAAAAAAAAAAAAGGACAGTTAAAAAAGCATGCTGTCCTAGAAAGCACCCAGTTTAGAGAAATAAACATCTCATCTCCTTATGTTTGATAGAAAATGATGAAAAATGTTGGTAGAAAAGAATTAAACAATTATAATTTTTGAAATTCTCAAAAGTAACACACAAACACCACACAAACAAACAAAAAGGCAGTGGGAGAATGTAAAATCATTTCTAGGTAGCAGTTGGGTGAGGCATACAAAGAGTGGTATCTTTCTCTCTCACACCTATCCGTATTTTTCCTCTTTGTTTTGACTCTAAGCTTAGTTCTCCACATCTGGTAAAATAGATAGCAAGATGATGGAATTCTACAACTTGGTTGACATCTTGCAGTTTTAGTTACATGGTAGAAGTTTAGAAGAGATTTTTCTATACTAGAGGGAAGATAAGAAAAAAAAAAAGGCAATGTGTATGTGTTTTTGCTCTTGCAGAATCTGTACTTAAAAACAAAAATCCTGTATGTCTGGAAATAATTGAGATCCCCACATGATATATAAATCAACGAAAGAAAATGCATAAACAATCCAGATAGCAACTGAGAAACAGATTAATGTAAAAATAATATAATTCTATGACACGTTGGCTTCTGCCTTCTTTTTAGGTAATGAAAACACATGTTTGTGTAGTCTGGTTTCCAAGACATTCCCTTTAAAATGTCTTCAAAAGCATTATCTTATCTCTGGCTCACTCCCCCCATAACCTTGGTCCGATGTCTGGGATAATGATGGTGAATGCTCACGAGATCCAGAAAGCAAGATGTTAACCACACAGCATTCAAAACTGCTCATCGGATGGAGACACTGGCGTGTGCATATTTGCGGTACAGCCGCAGAAGGGTCGGTCGGAGGGCCTTTATGTTGTCTGATAATGCAGCTCTTTGAAACATTGCTGGCAGACTCTCTTCACATCATGTCACACAGGACAAGAAACGGGACAAGCCCTCTCTACTTCTCGATTCATCGACCTGCCATACAATACAACAAACCAGCTTTTTCAAGGCCCCCTGAATGAAGGCCTGTGCCTGCAAGGGAAATTTAATTGGATTTCTTTATGGGTTGCAACAATCCAATGAAAAATTATGTAAGAATGGCATGATTCAGTTTCAGCGGGCACTTGAATAATAATATATTTTTTTATTTATAACAAGAATTCTTTAAAAAATAATAAGAAGAATTTTTAAATGAAAACACCCTGCAACAGCACTTTTCAGCTCAACTACACTAGCAGCCCAACTTTATCCACGGCAGCTTGTGTTGTGTGGATGTTTGTGTCATTGTCCCAGCTCTGAAAATAATTTTAAATGCGTAGATTGCAAAGCATTCAGAATGGAGTTGGAACCTTTCAAAAGCACTTGGTTTGGCTCTCTGGAAGAATAATGTTGTCTTTAACAATGTCCCCTGCTTTGAACCAAAGTGCATTTGTGCTTCCTAGAAAGTGCGAAAATGTCCATCACACTCTATTCATTCTTTGGAGCATCTTTGTGACGTTCAAAGATTAAGTCCTCTAGCATTTTGGCATCTTCAACTAGGATTATAAAACAGTGAGATTGTTTTTTATGCTCCTTCTAGAAGTGGGCAAAGAGCTAGGGGAGGCTAAATCTTCTTTTCTCCCTTTTGCACTTTTTTTTTTTTAATTGAGGTGCCATAAATTTAAATACTTGTTAGTGTTTTGGAAGGCTGGGACTTCCCCTTCAGGTATAGCCACCATGGTCACCACCATAAAGTACCTACAGCCCTCCAACATAGTGCTCCTGTCCCACCCTGTGCTCACATTTCCTCTCCCCTTTCTCTATGAAAGCCTCATTTCTATGGTCGGCTTTCAGGGTTGGCTTTAAAGTTTGCTTTTGCCGGACCCTTTGTTTGTTAATTTGTTTGTATTCCATGTATGTGAGTGACACTATCCAGTATTATCGTTCTCCTGCTGACTCATTTCACTTAGAATAATCCCTTCCCGCTCTATCCATGTTGCCACAAGCAGCATGAGTTTCTCTTTTTTAAACTCTTGAGTAGTATTTCCTTATGTATATATACCACATCTTCTTAATTCATTCACGTATTGGGGCACTT